ATGGACGACGAGCGCGCCTCGATCGCTTCCCTTGAAGCGCTCTTTAAAGAGACCGTCACTTGGGCTCCACTCCCGTCGCGGCATGGAGGGTCCGTCGCGGCATGGAGGGTCGAGCCTTAAGGCGGTGTGGCCAACTACATGGTGAGTGGGTGATCTGACAGCCTGAGGATCTGACCCAGACGCGACACGTTTGGGACTGCCAGGACTGCCGAGAAATAGCCAGGGGTGGTGCCAGGGGTGTTAATTGATCGGCATAGATGGCATACATGGAGCTTGATGATCTGACATCAAAGGTATCATGCTTTTTGGTGCAATACTTTTTGATGTAAAAACGTGTTTTTCCCCTCCTCCCCCTCCTCTCCCCTGGTGCTTTTCAACGATCAATTGAATCTTCCCTCTAACATCCTGAAAATCCCCGAGAGAGATCTGGCGAAGATTTGCCCTGTTTTTTTCCCACAGCTATCCCCAGCTACCTCAGTCCATCTCCCATGTCCAGCTACCATCCATCCCCCATCCGTCGGTCGACTCCTCTCCTCTCTTCAGCGCGCTGAGGACATGCGCAAAGGCGTCCTGGCCGCGGACGAATATGCCTCTGAGTCGGACTCCGAGATCGAGAGGCGCATGGGGAGGGGAGGGGTTGGGGGATGTGGAGACGGAGAGCAGGTGAGATGGTGGGAGAGACGTGGGATGTGACACGACACGTGACCGGGACTGCCAGGACAGACTGCCCGAGAAATGGCCAGGGGTGGTTGACTGGGGGGTCTGGCTGTTTCTCGGCAGGTCCCAAACGTGTCGTGTCTGGGGTTCTTCGTGGCCAAGGCGGAAGAAAACGTGACCGGGATCATCGGACCTCGGAACAGCTGCAGTAGCCAACTGGGAGGACCATCGAACGTTCAGGTCCTGAAAAGCCTGCCAGTTGGGGGGGTTCAGAGCTGATGGGGCCCTTTCAGACCTCTTGGCGTGCCAGTGCCATTTGCTCATGGTAGGAAACCACTGTAGGCTCTCATTCTTTACATGAATCCTGATGATGGAGTGCCCGCTGTCTGACAGGGCATGTGCATTCAACAAAATTTTGTGTGAATCACGATGAATCCATCAACCCCCCCCACAAACCAGACACGGAGAATCATGGATGGTATTGGTAAAAGCTTGGTCTTTATACCAGGACCTTCCAAGAGGTGGTTTTTGGACACCCCTAAAGCTCTAAGAGGCTATTTGTAGTCACCTCTTGGAAGGTCCTGGTATACAGTATAATAATGTGCCTTTAATGGATGGTTTTATGAATCAAGAGTCTTACATGACTGTGCTCTTGACTTGATTTAGGGATCCCTTTTGGAGCATCGTCTTGATCGTCTTATGGGAAGGAACCAGGGATTGGTGCAATACTCGAGCCAGCTGAGCCAGGCCAAGCCAGCACAACTCCAGGATGGTGCAATGATTCTTCAGGTGTTTTTGCTTTCCCTTGATGTGCCTGGTCCTGGCCATGCCAGGTCCTTTTGGGATTGTTTTGTGTGTTTCTCTCATGTTTTTGTTGTGTATTCTGTTGCTTCAGTCTATGTTCTGTCTACATCTCTCCTTCCATCTCCTTCCCACCAACGTGTGGATCCTGGAGAGCGGCGCCAGGCGACTGAAGAGACTGCCGCGGGTGGAGCGAGCGCGGATCTGGTTTCAGTCGACGCCTGGATTGGGTGGAGAGAATGTGAGGTTTTTTCGGCCGGGACCAGCGGCGTGGCTTTTTCAGAGTACATTCCGAAGGCATGTGGCATGGTACATATTGTAATATATGGCCGCATATGGCAATCCTCAGGCAATCCTCGCCGTGGCTAGTGCTGGGACTTTGGGTATGTTGGTTTCGTCTTCCCAACTAAAGCCGTGCCGCCGTGCCGTTGATGTCTGAGCCGGCAGTCGGAGCCTTCCATTCCTGGAAGTGAAGGCGGCCTGGTGCGGTTCCAGTCCGATGTATCGTTTAGTTGTTGCAGTAGCTCTCCCTAGGGAGAGCTCAAAGAAGGGCCCACGTGATACCCACCTTCTGAAGTCCCTGGTTCTTCAGTTCGTGACCGAACTTGATGACCTGGTGGGTTCGGTCACGGTCGAACCAGCCGAACCCGGACGGGACGGTTTAGGGTCACGAACAGGAACCTTCAAGTGAGGTCACGAACTGAAGAAGCTGGATGTTCTAAGATGTGTCTTTTAATTTTCTGAAAACACGTCGAACTTGGCTCTAAGATAAACATGTTGGGAGGGGTTGTGTGGTAGACACACGGAGGCTCACATGAGACCGCCCACACCCTCCTGGCCCAGACTCGACCAGACTTCTAGAGGCAGCGGTGCTGGGTTGCTCACCGGAGTCGGCCCATCATGCCCGTCTGGATCCACATACGCCTAGGGATCCAAGTACCTTCTCAGAAGGCACTTGGACCCTCAAAACCCACATAAGAGTGTCTCCAATCACCTTGTGAGAAGGTAGGGTACCATCCCATCAAGCCCTATACTATGGGCCCCATCACACCCTTATTCACAGGTACGGTGAGGACGGAGACTAGTCCTTAGGTGGATCTAGGGTCGGGCCCAGTCATACCAAACCTGAGGTACGGTGGCAGTGGATCCATAGGGATGGGTGGTTTGGCCCCCAAACCCATCAAAGGCCGGTGAAGCCCTGGTTTTCGAGGGTGAACCATGGTCCCTCGTTTGGCTGGGAGACTGAGGAATGACTATGAAATGTTGATGGCGCTGAGCTTATCTCTTTATGTGGTTTGGATGGCCTTCGAGTTGCTTGCTACAGATTGATTCGCTCTCGGAAGGGGTGGCTTTCTGGGTTTGCCAACCCCCGGTCACTCAGGGGTGGAAGGTGAATGGGACCAATGGAAGCCGTGTTTTGGATCCGTTGGATTGTCCTTGCCATTGGCGGGCAGGTGAGTTCTTTTGCGTCCGATCTTTATACATCTTTCTGCCTGCAGTCACAAAGGGGTGCGATCAATGGAGGTTAGGGGTGCCCATGATCCACTCACTTGAGGACTAAACACCACCCCGACATGTGACTGCTGGTGTCTTTCTGTCTTTCTTTCTTTCTTTTGGTTTTCTATCTCTTTCATTCAATCTAAGTGGCGTGTCGTGTGGATGGATGGATGGATGGATGGATGGATGGATCAATCGACGGATAGAGAGGCTGCACCACACGCGGCGAGGCTGCAATTCTATGGTGTGATTTCCGGCTATGACCTTGGCAGCTGGGCCGTGATTTCAGTGAAACGCAGAGGATAAACCCAAAGAAGTGACTTTTGGAGAACCAGGGGTTTGGTTTTTGAGGCCCTTGATTTGATCAGTTCGGCATCATGTTGATACCCCATGGAGACACTTGACCAGGGTGCTCACTTGTTCTACTTCGATGCCATGCCAAATCCTTTCGTCAGCGCCCACCGCGAGGAGTCTACGACTTCCGCGTGCCAGTCGAGGAGATCCCTTCGTGGGATTCGGTCTTTCAGGCTCACCAGTCCCCCTGACCCAGCGGACTCTCAATGCCCTGTTGGAGCGTTGAAACCAGGACCACCCATTCGTGCCGTTGACCACATGGAATGGGGGCTTGCGACTGTCGGTTTCAATTGCAGCGACCGGCCTCCCAGGCCATCCAATTGACTAGGGCGTACAGAAAGACCCTTAAAACATCTCAAAGCAAATATTGCATGGTTTGTTAGGGTCACTGGCTGACTCCTTTTATCTTTTGTCTTTAAAAGTAGATGTTTCGCGAACATGTCAGCATCAGCCGGAAGCATGGCACAGTACCTCCCATAAGCATCCATAAGCATGGCGACCCGTTGCCCTCCATTGATCGCCTGGAAGTGGGGGATTTTCGGGAATAGCGACCAGTTGAAGAGTTCCTTCTAGAGTCAGCTGGTGTAAACCATGTGGCTTGAATCCCGGTCTTGATATTTTTGTTTTTGTCGTTTGATGTGCTGCAGGAGCTCCCACTCGGTCACTGCTAGCTGCTGCTAGCATGGTTTTCGGGCTCAGTCAGAGGTCTGAACACCCTGTGTTGGACCACCAGCTCTTCACCGGCTGGTCTCGGGACGGCGGACGGTGGACGGCTGTTTTCACGAAGTGCGCAGGTGGGTGATGCATGCTTTACGGCCTTCTACGGCATGGACGTCATCGTTCGCATGTGCCTTCTCAGACGCTTCGCCGAAAAACAGTGTCGATTCCGGGAGAGGTGGGTGCCAATTCCGGGGAGATGTGGAGGAAAGCCAGCTGGATGGAAGATACTACTTGGAGGCTCGAGGTTTTTCAGTTTGCTTTTTTCAGAAGAAGGTAGTTGCAGATGTAAGGCCGAAATCCCAGCAGTTTGCTGGTGCCTCACAAGACGTTTCAATCGAACAAGTCTGCATTGGTTGGAAGGAGTCAACTGAGTCCACCGAGTCCCATTGCAGTCAGCTTTGTGGCCATGTCCCAGCACTGGACGTCCAAGGTTCTTGTTAAGTTTTGCAGAGCCAAAGAGTGAGGGAGGCAGAGTTTCGAGCCGAACCGGCCCTGCAGGGTCCCAGGGAAGGGCTTCCTCAATGGCCCATGAAAGACCTTCTTAAGACCATGCCTTTGGCTGAATTAGGGTGATTCCATGTGATTCCTGTTTTCCCGAACTGGGTGAATCCCCATTCCGGGGAAAATGTGATCTTTTGTTGTTGTTTCCTTCGCATTCCTAAGGCAAATCATGGCAAATCCAAGAAGACCTCCACAACGCCTTCTTTTAGATCCGGTGTAATTGCCAGATGATCCCCCCCACAGCCATCCGGCCTTTGACTCAGGAAAGGTCTTTTGGCACCATTGCTTAAACTATGTGGATGTAGCTGCGCCCTGGTCTCGATGAACATCCATCCGATTCCGTCCGATTCCGTCCTTCCGACGACCACAGGAATTCATGGTTTGGTCTAGAAATAGCGGAATGGTCCGAGTGTTCTTTTTGCTTCTTTTGTTTTTTTGTTCTCCCTCTCTCTCTCTCTGAATAAAGTGGCATGAGTCCGAACTTCGCGTCTCAACATCCGAATGAGCACGTGGTGATTGCTTCATTCCTTTGGGGATGCGATCTTCCAGATCAACCCAGCTCCTCCCTGCAGCTCAACAAACGCGGAACAACGCCAACATCTTCATGCCGACCCGAACAGTTCGTGTCCGAACTGAATTCATACCGTGGCACACCATTTGAATGCCGCCATGGATGCGCATGGTTTGGAGTCTTTTCACTGGAGCACCTGGCAACACGTGGCCCGTTAGTTCGTGCTTCAGGTGGCCTTGGCGTCCACGGCACAGCTCCTGTTGACCAATATGCCCATCAACCCGGTGCTCTTCCGCTTATTGCGGCTGGGGAAGCTGGCGCGGGCCATTCGCAGCTTGGAGATGGATGAATGGACTTGGGTGAGCATGTGTTTTAAACCTGAATGGATTTGAGGCGGATGAGGAGTTATGAGGAGTTGGTGTCCTCAAGCCCGTTCATGAAGTCAACTAGCTTCAGGATCTTGACACTGCTGTGCCGAGAAGGGGGGTGATGAACAATGAGCAAAACATCACAGGCTGAGTGGGTGTTTGTCAAGCTTTTGACTTGGACTCCATGGAACTTGATAAGTATCCACATGTATCATCATGTATCCGCATAGTTTGACAATAAGACAATTGTAGTCATCATTTATTGGGGCATCATGGGGAAACCCGAGCCCAAGCACCAATTGCAAATAGATGCTGCTTTGGCTGCAGCAACTGTTGGGAACTCCAAGTCAGACCGTCTCAGGACGAATGCTAGCTGCTAGATGTCATAGCTCCGCACGGCATGGTATGGTGTATGGGCTTTCCATTTTTCCTTGGGCTCCAACCATATTCTCAGAAGGTGGTTAGAGCCCCCCTTGCACCCACCCCAACCACCTTCTGGGGATGTGGGACAGGAGCCCTAGGGTTGACTGGAGATTCTTGTAGTACAAAAAAAACATGTTGATCATGGTTTACCCAGTGGATCCCCGACAGCCACTAGTGGATCCCAGACAGCCTGGTGGCTTAGTGAACCGGGGGCCCACCTGGTTGGTCCGTTTTTAATCTTTGGATCTTCCAGCGAACTCGTGGTAACTGGATGCCGTAATCTTACACATCTTTACATGCCTGGACCCTCCGTTGGAGGTGTTTCTTGGTGGCAACCAGGTCCCCAAAACAGCCTGGCTCGGAGGCTGGAGACGGAGAGCCCACGTGTCCACTCCACCGGGACCTTGGAGGATAGGGGGTTCCGAAGACCAAGGCATGCTGCACATGACCAGCATTTTTCAGTCGCTTCAGCTCTTGGTGAAGTGCTCCTGGGCCGCAAGACTCCCGCATCAATGCCTGGGAACCCACGCCGTGGAACCGAAATGTATCTTTTCTCGTCGACCGTCTCAAATACAGTCTCCTCGACGAGCGTCGAGGTCTGGTGTCCTCGAGCAATATGCTTTTCTGGAGTTTCATCCTCCTCGTGGTGGTTCAGAGCGTGGCCGGGCTGATGCTGAGCCACTTGGCGGCCCGATTTCTGCTGCAGTCGACGGCTTTTCGACCGCGACATCACAGCGAGCACTGAGCAGTGACAGTATTTGGAGGAGGTGGTACTAAAAGCATCTAAAAGCTATTGAGATCTATTGAGTGAGCGTTTGCAGGTACTAAAAGTACTGTGTTCGGAGTCAGTCTTATTTGGAGGAGTACCGTGTTTTGCTTGCTTGGAAGCTATGGCTTGTTTGAGGCACACTTTGTATGGATTTCATCATGTCTCCTGACAAGAACCTCGAGCTGCGCGAGGCGGTGCGATGTCGGATCCGCCAAATTGGATGGCACCGCTCAGCCCATGTGGAAACGCTTGAGATACACGCCCCGCAACTAACATGGTTACGTGGAGAATGGCCCCTTGAAAAGCAAGTTTCCACTACAAACAGGTGGTTTTCCTCCACGTAACCATGTGACGTTCCAGGGAGAGTAGAAGTCCGAACCATTGGAGCCCTCAATATACTTTACATGGTTTCGTTCATCTTCTCCCCAGATGTCTCTTTGGGGCAAGAGAAGGAATATGAAGGAATGATGGATTTCAGGGTTGGAGGCTTGCCCATGCGCATGTGCCCAAACATTCCCATTCCATCAGGATCGAAGTGCCACAAATCACTGGTGCTTCCAAACGAGGAAGCCAATGAGACTCCAAATCTGGAACATTTAGACCTACATTGGCCTCGCCGCATAGGTATATAAATGTAGGCAAGTGCTCTTGCCCGCTGCAACGATGATGTGCAGCAGGCAGTCTTCCGCTACTATGGTACCTTTTCGCGAACCTTCCTCACTATGTTCGAGACCCCCGGCTGCCATTCAGGTTGGTCAGGCTTTGGCTCTTCGCCGGGGCGTGCGAGCAACTGTAGCTGTTGTGTTTAGTAGAAATGGACCTGTAGAGTCCTGTATTTGATAGGAAAAGTTCACATTTATGGGTGGTCGGTAGTCCAAAATAGTGGATCACACATGGTCATCTATAGATAAGGGACTCGCTGTCCAACCGCCCTGGGGCAGATTTCGACGGACGGATGGGGTGACTCACTTGGAATGGCAGGCTGTCTCGGTTTTGAGGCCAAGGACTCCAATTGTTTTGATTTTAGGACGTTGTGTCCAAGTTTTAGTCCCATGCGGTGTCCCAACTGCCTATCTTTGTCCAGCTGTGCATGGACCGGGGGGCGGGTGGAGCACGCTGCTGACAAGCTGCTGCCACCTTCAACAACATGTTTGTCCAAACTGGCCATCCAAGGATTATGTTTGCAAATTGGAGCCCACCTTGCCGCGTTCTGGTGGAGCACATCAGCGAGTGGTTCTCGGTGTTTTTCCTTTTGTACCGCTGCGTCCTAGGCGGGGCGTTCAGAAGCCATCAGACACATGACATTCGTCTAGGTGGATGGAGAAGCCATGGCCAACAGGTCAACAGGAGGTTAAGTCAACAGGTCAGTTCATTTGGCAGAATCTGGTAAAAGTGGCATAGTGATCACCACATTTGTCTCTGAAAAACAAGCTGAGAGAGAGAGAGAGGAAGTTCATGAAATCATGTGAAATCCAGGGCACCCAAACACCACTTTTTTTCTTGCTTTCTGCCTTGCACCACACCGCTCCGACTTGCACCCACGGAAACCCGTGACGTGCGTGTTCTCCGGTGGGGTCGACGGCGGCGCATCTGTGCAGGTTTTGCAGTGTTGAACATCATCAACGCCGTCTTCTGGGCTTAACTGAGCTGCCATCAGCCCTCCCAGCACATCAGGGGGAACGTGAAATAGTTTCAGGTATATGTCCTCGAAAAAGAGTTTCTTGGGGGTCGGTGATGTGTTGGAAGGGCAGGCGGCAGGATGCTGTTGGACGAACGTGTGTGTATATATATATATATATATGGTGTTGCGTTGTGTTGTGTGTTGCTTTCATGCTTTGGGTTCAACCTTAGAACCTTTGAGAGAGAGGAACTCGGATGAGTGGGGAACTTCGCCCTAGGCTGTTTCTCTATATCCCACACGAATCTTTTGGTGTTGTCACGGAGATGTTTGGAGGACCCACCATCCAAAGTACCATTGTTTTTCTTTTCCAATGGCACTTGGTTCTTACCAGCAGTCACAAAGAGGTGCTATCCATGGAGGTTAGGGGTGCCCATTATCCACTCACTTGGGGACTAAACACAAGTGCCATATGTGACTCCTAGGTTCTTATGTGTTTTCAGCTGATTTGACCTGACCCTCGCGGTGCTGGCGCATGCTGGCGCACAAAAAACACTGATCGAGTGAGGTCTTCGTTCAGCAGAAGCCCGGCAAGCCATTGGCCGCTGTTGGGCATGGATGTTGATGGGTTTGGCGACGCACCTGGCATCCCAAAGAGCTTTTGAAGTAACAACACTTCCTGAAATCGTCACCTTTCACGCTTGATGTGGGCGATGCCGACCTGATTAGGGCTGATTCCAGACACAAGTTTCATCTCCACATAAGCAAGCCATCGGCCCAAACAAAGAACCAGGGCCATCCAGGGTCGGGTCAAGTCATATCAAGCCCAAGCCATCCAACATGTCACATGTCCCATTGGAACAACTGCTGAGACGAAGACGGCGGCCTTCGTTCCGGAACTCGCCGTTCTCCTCGGGTCTCCGTTTCGAACCCACCACGGATTCAGCGCGCGTCCCGAACTTCGAAGCGAAGCGGCTCGGAGCAGCGCCGCTCCGCGCGAGCGACGAGGACGATGAAGACGGCGAGCTCGGACGAAGAGCTGGCGTTCAAGCAGAGGGAGAAGGAGACGGCGAGGTCGTAGGGTCCTCCCTCCACTGCTGAGGGGTTCCTTTGAGGTCTGACACTCTCAGGTCCTCCAAGACTGAGGCTTAGGCTTGGGATGTTTGGGCTTGGGATGCCTCCGAGCGAAGGTCGACACCGCGACTCTGTCCCAGCCGGTCGAACTTGTGAAAGCTGTACCGTCGTAGCGAACGAACCCAGACCCCCCGGATCATTATGGATGGGTGTTTGCAGAGCTCCATGGGACTGGCATATTGACCCCGTTTCAACCACCCCAATGTACGCAAATATGCCAGTCCCATGGAGTGTCTGGGGAAGGGTCATGTTGATCCGCTACTTCACCTGGTGAAGGTGAACCTTTGGCCGGGGGGCCTGCATGGACACGGCAGGACTCACTAGGACACGGTAGGACACTCTGGATCCCGAAGAGATGCATCAGATCGAGATTCCTCAGTCCTTTGGAACATCACCACGTGATGAACTTCTGCTGTAATTTTTTTGGACTTCAAGCTTTCCCTTCTCCTTGGAAGTGAGGTGCCCAGGGTGGAAACGCCATGACATTAGCCCCTCAGCGACCGAAAAGGCCCAAGAGAGCCTTGATTCATTGAGCTCTGAGCTGAGCTTTCCCCATTCTCCACTGATTAATCAGGGACCTCCTAGCTTTAAACTCAGGAGGGAGCAAAGGACCTGGAGGTATCCATTTTACATCATTTTACAATATTTTACCATATGTTGTCACTAGTCGCTTCTTGCTATAGTTACTATACTAGCAGTGCCCTTGTTACTAGTAGCTTGTTCTACCCATTAAACGGGGAGCCATTCGGAGCTACAGGGAGTGCACCAACCCCACCAGGCCTCTCTCCCATTCGTCGCGCTCCACCGCGACCCACGCGGCGCCGGTCGCTACCAGGAGATCGCAGCCTACACGAGGACGCTTGAGTAGAGATGCTAAGGGTTGGCGGAACCGCTGGGCGCCTAAAATGACCACATCTCACGGATCTTGGGTGGGTCTCCAGTGGAGACATAGATAGTGTCCCATTGATTTAGACTCTGGGATTATATATTATATATATGTTATATGACATATTGATATTATACAGTAAATCCCCTCAGGCCTGAAGAGGTTCTGTCAACTTTTGTATGTGTGTGTGTGTTATGTTTTTTTGGGGGGGTACTGATCGAGAGTCTACATTACCAGTAACAGTCGGTAAGAGAGTAGAACACTTGCCTTTGGGGGAAAGGCCTTGCCACCTAACCATCATGCACAGGGCCCGGTGTTTTTTTTGGATAGACGAGGATGTTCTTCCTGCTCACCCTTCTTGGTGAGTCATGTTGTTCGCATCAACAGAGGCGGAGCATGCCTCCCGTGCCGACGTTCGGAGCATGTTCAGCCTATAGAACCATGTTCCTTCTCAGAGTAGGGTGAAAGTATTTCAAAAAGCTATTTTCCACTTTAGCCCTCCAAGACTTGTTAGGACATGTTGACTTAAACAACCATCGCTTCTGTGTAGCGCAGGGCTGAGAGCTCACTGGCGTGCAGTGTTCCAACATGTTTCAACCTTCCAAACTGTCTCACCCTTGCAAGCCCAAGCCACCCTGTTCAACCCCAACATCGGTGCCAAGAGCTGGTCATCCTGCTATAGACACAAGTATTCTTGGAAACGACTCCCTTGTTTTTCTAGATCTCTTAGACTTTCTGCTTACAGACCTCTTGCCACGCTGTTTGGGGTCTCTTGCCGGGATAATTCGTGTTCAGAGCACCGGTTCCTAGGGTACTGGCACGTCCAACAGCAAGAGGTGTCAGAGTACGGTTCTCGAACTCCGCTGGGCCAGCTGAGGAAAGTGAAGAAGTTGTTCCAGACCATGGATGCCAGTGGCGTCTTGGAGATGGTCCAGGTCCAGGTCGTTGCTGCATGGTCCAGGTCGTTGCTTTCGCCAGTAGTCGGGTGCACATGTTGATTCATCCACTTAACAGTTGGGTCGAATGCCCTATATACAGCATCTATATAGGCTGGATGGGTTTCAGAGGCTCAAGATTGCCGTTCGAGACCGTATACTGTAGCACATGGAGTAGAACAACGCATGGACGAGAGAGCACTAACATTTCAGGTGTGTTTTTTATTAAATGCAATTGTTTTGGGGTATTGTTTTCAGAAGCAGTTGGCTTTGAGCATCCATCGTCCATTCTTAATACCAAGCAAATACCTATGTGGTAGATGAAAGCCATTGGTCCAAGTCATTGAGAATGGTGTGGCTCATGCCCGATCCTCGATGCTCCAAAAAGGAGATAACAGGACCCAAAAGGCACACCTATATACCCCCTAAAAGTTGACGCAGCTGGGCCCAAACGAAACGTGAGTGAAAGCGCTGTATGTATCATGAAGCGCCCCGTGTTAAAACCATTCTTTGTGCCCGGCCTGGCGGCCTGGCCAAGTCTTTTAAAGGGAACAGCACGATGTGGCAGGGATATACCTAAACCCTAGGGATCGAAG